CCCAAATCCCAGGCCCTGCCAACCTATGTCGGGTCCCTGGCATTCGTGTCAGGATTCCTCATCCGCTTCGACGACATGCCGACCTACTGGAGGGTAAGCATCGTTTGCAGGGATGCCATGGGCTCTGTGGGGAGCAGGCACGTGGACAGTAGTGGGTCCCAGTTGCCGTGAGCTAAGCACACCTGGCACAGCACAGCACCAGATCGCCGTCCCCCTCTTGCATGACGACGCTTGCTCTTGTATCTATCTGCTGCCACACCCGCACTACCTGCTTTGGGCTCGCTCACCACTGCAAACCCAGCCGACTTGCAGCCCTTCCCACCCGTTTTCCTAATCCTTCCGCGCTCCTGCGTCCCTCCTCGCCCAACACACACACCCCCTACCTCGCCCACTCCTGAACACCCGCGGCCTCCGCCTCGCATCGCGCCGCTTGTTGGCACGCGCATGTGTCTCCCGCAGTGGTACAGCCGCGCCAACCCGCTGACATATTCCTTCACAGCGCGTGAGCTGCGGGGCTTTTTGGGAGGGGGTTGAGGGGGAAGCAAAGTGGGAAAAGGGCGAGAGCGGCCGAGACAAGCCGCGGCCGCTACTTGTTGTATAAGGCACGGCATCCGCTGTGCACTGCACGGTGCAGCCCTTCGGCCCGCCATGCGTATTGCCACACCAGCACTAATCTGCTGCACGCTGTGGCTGCTTACAATCGCAACCTGTCGGCCACTCTGTGGCCCTGCCAAACCCTGCTGCCTGAGCCACGCGTTCCACGCCCTCTCCTGCAGTGATGGTCAACCAATTTGAGAAGAATGATCCAAGATTCATCGGCGGCAAGACCCTGCTGCACTACTTTGGTGTGGCTGACCAGTCCGCCTGGTGCGTTGACCAGAGTTTGACCTCGTTCGATTCGAAGTGCCGCTTGGGCCCATGTGTTTATCCTGATCATCGTGGTTTCAGCAGTGCGCCATGCACCCTCAAAAGAGAGCGACGTGGAGGAGGGGAGATTGGGAGGTGGTTAAGACCTTGACAGCTGAAACGGGGTTGCAGGGTGGACTCCCCCGCCCGCCTCTGAGAGGGGCGCAGATGCATTCATGTCACCGCCCTCGCCGTGCCACCCTGCCCCCCGCCCACGTGCACCCAGGGCCAACATCGGCGCCATCTTTGGCTTTTTTGGGGTGTTCATGGTGAGGCCTGCATTGCTGCACCTCGGTTAGGTCAAGTTTTGGGGGTCACGGATCTGGAGTTGAATGGTCACAAGACCCAGATCGTACAAGGAATTCTGGTTGAGACGTGGCAGCCTGCAACGTGTGGCGAGGGCAATGCGCGATTGCACAGGCTCAGGAACTTGTGCGATGTTTGGGGCTGGGCGGCTGGCCGGGCGGCTTATGATAACTAGGGCCTGCCCTGGGAGGGTCTCAACTGCCATCAGTCAGTACGGCAAACCCAAACATTAACTCGTCACAATCCTACTCATCCCCCCCGTCCTTCCCAACGTACATCCGCGTCTCATCCTGTTTCAGGTGTTCACGTGGCTGGTTCTGAGCTTCAGGCGTTATGAGCGGCGGTGACACCTGGGTGCCGCCTGGCGGTTTGGGCAACGACCCGGCGTGGCAGAAGAAGCTGCTTGGAAGCTTCTGGACGCGCGGCTGATTCTTCCTGGTATTCGCATTGGCTTTATCCCAACCCATAAGAACCCGAATTCTTGGGCCGCTTCGTGCACTGCGTGCCCCTGTTGGATGGTTCCCAGGCTGCCCGATTTTGAAGCCTTTTTTCAAACCACGTTACTTGCAGCAGGGGCACATTCCTGTTTTGACGCTGGCTGCAAAAGAGAGGTTCCTATTTTGTTGCTGGCGAGCGGCGGGCGGCACCCTGACCCCCCAGATTTGCGGCTTTGAACCGCCGGCCCCCGCACGGCTCCCCACCCGCGCACTGCTCGCCGCTCATGTCATGCGGTTGTCCAAGTGCCCTGTGGCATGCCCACAATCATAAGCTCGGCCCCACCTTCAAAACTGCCAAGCACTCAGCGCACTGCTGGACGCCCTGGTTTGCCCCACTGCACTGCGCCGGGCATTGAAAGGCAATGATGCACCAGTGGCGTGCGCGGCCGAGCGGCGTCGGCCGGCCGTGCCTGCGGAGTGCCGCGGCCTCGGGGCCGGCTGGTTGCGGCCGAATCCAACAACCATTCACGGCTGGGCCGCGCTCCCTTGCCCACTGGCAGCCTGCCGCGCGACTGCCCGGCTGCGGGGCATCGGGTGACGGGTTTGCCTTCCGCCTGGTGTGCGGAGTGTTCTCATAGGTGGAGTGTCTGGGGGAGTTTCAGGGCGTTCCCATTATCGAAGCAAAACCACCAGGTGAGTGTTTTGTGGGGCCCCCACAGCCGCTCGCTTTGCCCAACCTGTTTAATCAATTGATGTAAACAGTATGAAGGCAGGCATGGAGTTTACAGGGTTGCTAGTAAGGCATAGGGAGCTTGCCTGCGCGCTGCTAGATGTCGCGGCGAATCAATCAGTCGCTTGCAACGCCGCCACCGTCCCGCAGCAGCTTCTCTGCAGCTGCTCGCAGGTCAGCGCGCGTCCCCCAAGCGCTGCCGCAACGTTCGGAAGCCCGTTTCTCAGCGTGACTGGGCCGGCGCAGCGGCGCCGCGCGCCGCGCGCCACGCATCAACTCAAGGCGCCGTCCGCCCGCGCCTCCTCCGCGGCCGCCGCCGCGGCCGCGCGCCGGGCGTCCCATAGTAGCTGCTCCACCCCCCGCAACCGCAGCTCCTGCGGCGGCGGTGTGGGGTGCGAGGAGGCGGCGGGGCAGCGGGGTCGGCGGGCAGCTCTGCGCAGCGCCGGCAGCACGCCCAAACGGCCCCGGCCCCCTTCTGAGGGCTGCCTGCCACAGCGCTTTGGCAGCACAGCGGCATGTCAGCCCCAAGCACCCCTCCTGCCTGGCACGGCCTGGCCGCCAACCCCGCACACCAAAACAAAGCCAGCGCGCGGCACGCAAGCACACGCGACCACACTCGCAGTAGAACAACCGTTTCCCTTCACACCCCTCCTTCCTCCACCCTCCCTCCGCCCCCACCTGGAACCCGTGCCGCAAGTCAGTGAAGTCCCTGAGCGTCTCCCGCCCCCGCGCCAGCCGCCACGCCCAGTACTCCGCCCGCTCGCCCGACAGCGGCGCCTCGACGCCCGCGGCGGCGGCGGACGCCCACAGGTACAGCAGGCGCGCCGCCTGGAAGCGCACCTCCTCGGCTTCCTCGGGGCCCAAAGCCACAGGGGTGAGGCCCTCGGGGGCGGCGCCCTTGCGTTTTCGGCGGGGCGGCCGGAGGGCGCACAGCATCATAGGCAGGCGTGCGGTCGCGTGAGCGCGTCGTGATGACTCAGGCGATGACTGGAAGAGTCCCGTGGCTGCAGCGCGGGCGCCCAATTCAGCAGGGGCTCCCCTTGCTTCCGCACACCCGCGCCATGCCTCGCCCCGCAGTTGGCGACGGCGCCCTGCAGTCGGCCCCTGGGCTCACCGCCTGCGGCAGCTGCACCACTGCGCGCCGCGCCCGCGCCTGCTCCGCAAGCGCCCCCATGACTTCCGCCTCAACCCCCAGCTCCGCCAGCTGGCGAAGCGCCAGGTCCACGTCAGCGGCGTCCGCCGCGGAAGCTTCCTCCAGCAGGAGCCCCCGCGCGCCGCCGTCGCCGTCTGGCCGCCGCACCGCCCCGCCGCCGCCGCCGCCGTCGGACCGCTGCCGGCGGCGGCGGTCGTCCTGTTGCTGCTGCTGCCGCCGCTGGTGGATCCACCAGGCCGCGAGTTGGTGTTGCTGCTGCTGCTGCTGGTCGCCGCCGCTTGTGGTGCTCGCGCCGCCCTCAGTTTCGCATCTACTGACCCCACCCCTGCTGCTGCTCGCGGCGCTGCCGCCGCCGCCGCTGCCACCGCCGCCGCCGCTCCTGCCACCGCGCCGCGTGGCCGCCGTCGCCGCGCGGCGCGCGGCGTCGAGCATGGCGGACGGCGGCGGCGCCACCTCGCGCCAGCGCTCCGCTGCTGCCTCCGAAACCTCCAAATGGATCCCAAACGCAGCCGCAAGGCCCTGCGAGCCGCCGGGGTCGCGGTCAGCAAGCGCACGCTGCTGACCCGCAGCCCCATCGTGGCTCGCCGCACTGGCCCGGAATAGTCCGCTGCGCCACTCCCACCCCTGCTTGCCACTGCTGAGTCCGGTCCTGTGCTCTCGCGGGCGGCCCCCTTGCCAACTCACCCAGTAGCGCGCCAACCAGCAGCTGCCCAGCGCCAGCGCCTCGACCTCCTCCGGCGCCAGCAGCAGCGGGTCCAGCGCCGCCCGCGCCTCCTCCAGCTGCGACAGCGCCAGCTCTGCGCCCGTGCGCGCAAGGGGCAGCCCGCACGTGCACGCTGATGCAAGGGTCTCGCCGCGCCGCGAATCCAGGAAAGCGCGGCGCGCGGGGCGCGTGCATCGCCAGTGCCGATCGCGGGCGAATCGCAGACGCCGCGCGGCTCGCGTTGTGCCCGGCAAATACGCGCGCAGCAGCGTGCGGCCCCCAGCAGCCCCCACCCACCAGCCTCGGCGATGGCGTGAGCCTTGATGCCCTCAGACCGCTCCAGCAGGACCTGCATTGCCTCCGCCTCCTTCCCCGCATCCCCGTCGCCCCAGCCCCGCGCCCTGCCGCCGGGCGGTGCGCCGGGCGGCGCGGCGGCGTGCGGCGCGGCGCCGGCGGCACGGCATTCCAAGCTTTTGAGGCGCGCCGCCAAGTCATGGTTGTGCTGCCGCAGGATTTCGAGTTCGGCCCTTAAGAGGGCGTTCTCTTTACTAAGGCCGGTGCGCTGCAGGGCAGGATGTTTTGCAGCGGTTTGTGTGTTTGTGTGTGTGTAAGAGTGCGCGAGAGAGTGTGCGTGTAGGGGTGAGTGTGCGTGTGCGTGCGCCTGCACATGTGTGACACGCAAGTGCACCTACAAGTGACACGCAAGTGCACATACAAGTGACACGCAAGTGCACATACAAGTGTGTCTGTTGGGGTCTGACGCGTGCAGCACATGTCAAGGACCCAGCCTGGAATTTCAGCTACTGGGTTCGCATACTGCGGTGCCCACCAACCGTTCTGCATAGGATGCGGCCGCATGATCATGCACACACCTGGGTGACAGCCGCAATATCCCCTTTGCTTCCGGGCGCCGACGCCCCCTTCGCGCCGCATTGCGCCGCCGCCGCTACTGCTGCTGCTGCCGCCGCCGCCGCTGCCGCGGTTGCCGCTGGCGCGGTGGGCGCCGCTGCTGCGGGGACTGCCGGGATCAGTAGCTGCTCGGTTTCGTACAAATAGGGTGCCTGTGGGGCACGCATCGCAAGGCAGTGGTAGATGTGCGCAGGGCGCCGATCGAGCCGCGCCTCGCACCATTGCGTCCGGGCGGCGCAGGCTGCGGGACATACACATGCACAGCGCAAGGCATCGGCGCAGGTCGCGCCTCGCTGCGTTCAATCACCTTTTTGGCCAGCGACGTCTGTAGGTTGTCCTTCAGCAGCCCGATCGCCGCGTAGGAGTAACCTGCGCAATATTCAATACTCCTGTCAGGCCCATGGCAAGCTTAGAGAGTGCTGCGGCAGTGCCCGCGCATTGGGGCCACACCGGACGGCTTGGCCTTTGGCTCCCGCGCCAAGCCCCGGCCTGGACTTTTTGTTGGGCCTTCAGGCTCTGGTGAGGACGTCGTCGTCGCCCCTGCAGCGGCCGACATGACCGTCTTCGGCCCTGTCTACAGAGCAACCAGGGTGATCTTTGAAGTGGAGTCGTATATTATATTACAAGTGTATCGTCCGCCAGTTATCTAGACTTGATGCCACGTGCCCCATCACTGCATGCAGCCAGTGCGCACGAAACGGCCCAGCTGGCAGGCGACCTGCACACTCATGTTGACCGGCACCGGCCGCCCGCCGACTCAATCAGCTGTGTCGCCGCCTATCACCAATGCGCCCTGCGCCGCCACCGCTCTTAAAATCAGCGCCGCCGCGCGCGCCACCTCCTGCAACGTGGTATACCGCCCCGTCGACAGCCGAAGCGTGCCCGCCGCAAACTCGGGGGGCACACCCATCGCTCTCAGCACCGGCGATGCTGCACCCGCGTCCCCGGACCCGCTGTGGCAAGCCGCGGCCCCGGACGCCGCCAGGCGGTCTGCCAGCTCAGCCAGCAGCTTCCCGGCCCGCAAGCCGGCCACCGAAATGCTCAGCGTATTGGGCAGCCGCCGCCGCCCGTCCGCCGGGCCGTTGACCCGCACCCGCGTACCGCCGGCGCCGCCGTGCCCCCCTTCCGCAGTCCCCTTGAAGGCCGAGAGCAGCGCGATTTGCAGCGCGTCCCGCGTGGCGCGCATGTGAGTGGCGACGGCAGGCAGGTCCCGCGCCGCCGCCTCGGCCGCGGCGCCGAGCCCAGCGATCAGCAGCGTCGACTCCGTGCCCGCGCGCGCGCCGCGCTCCTGGCCGCCGCCGTGCAGCAGGCTTGGGAGGTGGACGCCGCGCCTGCGGGTGTCGATGCACGCACACGCACGTGTGACACATGGCCACGCGCCGCCGTGCATCTCGATCCAGGTGTGACACTTGCGGCGCAGGCCGGGCGCGCATGCAACGACTCAGGGAGAAGCGTGGGCCGGAATGCAACTGTGTTTGGCCACTGCACCCTCACCGAATAAAGAGCGCGGCCACGCCCTTTGGGGCGCCGAACTTGTGTCCCACCACAGTCAGCAGGTCAACCCCCAGCCGCCGCACATCAACGTCCACCTGTCGGGGCGAAAAGGAGTCAAGTACAGGTCAAACATGAGTTGGCCGTCAGTCAATCACGGTCAAATGGTCAGGGACTGGTATGGCCAGCACCCATGCTTATAGGAATTTGCATTGCGGCCGCCGCCTCAGCAGTCAGTGTCCAAGGGGGGTCCGGTTGTCCTGCTGCACGCGTTGGGAACTGCAAGGCCGCGGGGCGTGCACAGGCCAGCTTCACCCCGCGCAAGCAAGCTGCAGCCGCCCGCGCATGTGCATTTGCATGTGTGGACTCGCGCCTTGCCGATGGACTGCGCGGCGTCGGAGTGGAAGAGGGCGCCGCTGCCCGAGATCGCCTCTGCGATTTCCTGGATCGGCTGGATCGCGCCCACCTGCGCTTGAGGGGGAGATGATAACGGCAACATGAGAACAAAACCCTAACTTGGTCGGGGTGGTGAGGGGGCGTCTTTTGAGCCGAGCTGACGTCCGCTACAGGGCTGGACGCCAGGGCACAGGGGATCAGTGTCGCAAGGAAGATCAAGCAGCACAAGCCAGCACCCCCCTGCCCGTTGCCTGCACCCGTCGCCCCTAGGGCAGGTGAACGCCGCGGCCGGGTGTGTATACAAACACGAATGGACGGAATGCGGGGGAGAACCGCACCTCGTTGTTCGAGTGCATGATGGTGACGAGCGCCGTCTCGGGCCGCAGAGCCGCTTGGACTGCTGCAGGGTCGACCAGCCCCTCCGCGTCGACACCCACAGCGGTGTACCTGGGCGCAGAAGATTCCGAAACGATAGGTGGAATCAAAGCAGCCAAATTTGAGTGGCAGCAGTGCAGCTGCAGGCAGCTGTTGTGCGTCGACTGCCAACTGCACATCCGCTGCAAACAGCTTATGGTGGTGCGCGGTCAGCTTCCTGGGAGCCTGCGTCGATCGTGCAGGCTCATCGGCGCAGACCCCATGCACGCACGGCCATGCGATACGCGGCATGCATTCCTTGAGCACTGCTTTCAGCCTCACGTGAGTAACCCCTCATCTGCGAGCGCCTGCAGGTAGACCAAAACCGCCGGGTGCTCCACCGCCGACGTCACCACATGCGGCAGCTTCCCAGCGGCCGCCAGCTCGGCGCGCCGCGCCGCCGTCGCGCCCCAAACGGCCCATGCGTCGCTTTCAGTGCCGCATGAGGTGAAATAGACCTCGTCGGGGGCGCAGTGGATCAGCCGCGCGACGGACGCGCGCGCGGCGGCGACGGCGGCTGCGGCGGGGCGGCCGTAGGCGTGGGAGCTGCTGGGGTTGCCAAACTGGGTGGTGGTGTTTAGGGTGGATTGGTTGATATTGACCTGCACGTGCCAGGCACCGCTTAGTTGGACAGCGCGTTGCCAGGTCGCAAAGGAGAGGGCTGTATGCTGCAGCGACGGTCAAGCAGACAGACCGTGGGCTCCTTAGCGGGTGTGCCTCCAGACGGGTGCAGGCTTGCTTCGGCGGGGGCATGGCGAGTGCCGGGCCACCTGCAATCGCGGCAGCGTCAGCGGCCGGTCAATCATCACCAGTGGCGGGTCCCACCTGCTCCAGCGTGAATGGTAACATTGCTGCCTGGACCTCTGGTAGAATGGGCGTCGTGGCATTGTAATCGAGGTATATGCATTCCGCCAGGTGGGGCGGCGGCGCCGCCGAGCCCCCGCAGCCTGCTGCTGCGCCGTCGGCTGGCAGCGACGCTTCAGGTGCCGGCATCGTCCGAGCGCCAAACTTTGACTCTAATATATGAGAAAAGTTGTATTTGAACCAAGATTTTGATGCATTGTGCGTGCTTCTGCGGATCTGTGATCTGGGGATCAGCGAAATATGGAGCTGAAGGGGGTGCGCTGGTTAAAGACCTTGTCCAGTCTCAAGACCATATCCATGATGTTTCTTTTGTGGAACACCCGCCACGCCTGCCTGTGACGCCACCATTCGTGCTGGCGGTCAAGTCAAAAGGCTTGTATGGTTTTCCAGCACGGTGCATTTGCCAGTGGATCAGCGCAAGGCACTGCAAGCGAAGCTGCACCACAGGTGGCAATTGTGCCTTGTGTGTTAAAGTTGTATTCAGCTGTTGATGCTGCTCAAGGCCTGTGCCCCGTGATTCGCTCTACACCCACTACATGTTGGCTGCCTGGAGAAAGTTCAGACGGCTGCAAACATGTCCTGACTACAGCGAATCACTGTGGGAATTTGCAGTACAGTCGTAAGCGACCACCCCAGATGAGCAGCTGATGAGACAGCCTGCCGTTACAATTGCAAAAAGGCAGGCAGCTGCTCTAGCAGATAATGGCCCCTGCAGAGCGAGACAAGCCTTGCTGTGTGTTTGTGGTTGGTTAGATACACAATGATTTTGGGTCACCACAATTCAGGGACCAGCAGCACTTCATCGATCCTAATAGGGAACGCGCGGCTCGCACCGCAGTTGAAAGCAGCTGCCTTGCAGCTTCCCACCAGCAGCTGCCATGAAGCTGCACGCTTACTCCTTGAGCCAGGGGCTGATGGTCTGGTCCCAAGCGACAAGGCCCTCGGGGAACCACAGGGCTGCGGGGAACGCGCGGTCACGAGCGCACGCGAGCGCGCGGCGGCGGGCGGTCGTGAGCGCACGCCTGGCCGCGAGAGCATGCGCCGCTGCGGCAGGCACAGGCGAGCGCCTTGCGGGTGTGCGTTGCGATGAGCCGCAGGCGCTGGAGCGAGCGGCCGCCCCGCGGCGCGGCTGGGTTGCATTCCAAACTGGCCCTGGCTGAGGGGATGTTTTGCATGCAATTCGGGGGATAATGGTATATTTATTACGTTTGCTCACCGGTCTCGCGGTCGCCGTTGTCGGGGCTGTCGCTGCCGTGGATGACGTTGCGGCCCACCTGTGATGTGAGGGACACCAGGCGCGTCGCTTACGCGGTCGGTCGTGCGCAGTGTTAGCATGTGCACGTGTTTGTGGGTTGCATGCACGTGGGTGCATGTCGAGCACTTTGTGGGTCGCAATGCTGTCAGCATGTGCAGAGCGACGGCAGACCAAGGCAGCAGGCCGTGGCCCCCCTCGCCCCAACGCCTCGCGCCGCGCCGCCACGCGCCCTGGCCGCTGCGTGCCGCCCTGCCTCGTCAGCGCAGAGCAACGCCACATCAACATGCGCCCGCATCCGTCCCACCTGGATGGCAAAGTCGCCGCGGATGGTCCCGGGCTCCGAGGCCAGGGGGTTGGTGGCGCCGATGAGCTTGCGCGCGGACGCGACCACGCCGTCGCCCTCCCACACCTGGTGGAGGCGGGGCGGAGTGAGCCCGGGGGGGGGGGGCAGTGGTGGTTGGGCGCAGGCGATGGGTCGACATGCTGCGTTGTTGACTCTGGCCGCCGCTTGAGTGCCTTAAGACAACGCAAGGGTGTGAACCATTCCCTTCTAAAGGCGGCCCACGCAGGTACTGATATTGAGCTGCGGCGCCAAGAATCCCCAGTCCGTGGCTTGCGAACCCGAGGAATCTGGAGCCCTCAGATGCAGGGCAACACCAACTTGTGCGTTCGAGGCTCTTGTGGCCGTGATCCTAGGCGCCATCGGGCCGCCATGCGCCCACCATGGACACGACGGGCCCCGAGAGGATGTACTGCACGAGGTCCTTGTAGAAGGGCTTGGACGACAGGTCCTTGTAGTGCTCCTCCGCCACCTTTGCATGTTCAAAAACATTTGTGCAGGTGTTTTCAATTCGTTGATGAGCTTCAAGCTTCTGTTTGTCAGCAAGCAACTGCCTGCGCTGGTGGGGCCCAGGGGCACAAGCTGCCGCCGGCCAGAGCCGAACACGCGCGTGGTTGCTCGAGGCGGGCCTGGCCGCGGGAATTCCGTGCAGTAATAAAACTGCTGGTGGTGGTACGGGCTGAGCGGCGTCATCTCATCGTGCATGCGAGCATGTATGATGTCCATGCATCACCTCCTGGGGGGTCTGGTAGAGCTTGAGCGCGCGGAGCTTGAAGCCCTTGCGCTCGAAGCGGCCGATGATCTCGCCCACCAGGCCGCGCTGCACGCCATCAGGCTTCACCATCACATAGCTGCGGGGCAAGGTCACCGCAGGCCCGGGCGCGTTGCATTGTGGTGTCGTTCGGGGTTGGGGGAGGGGTGGGGGGTGAGGGGCTGCAGGCCACAATGAATGGTGGGGTGGGAGGTGCCTGGCACGGGTGCTTGTGAAGGGTTTGGCTGCACGCCGCACCAGTGGCAGCATTCCATCAGGTTGTACAGGCACTGTGTGCAGTCATAGCAGATGGCGGCGGCTGTCTAGGCGCCAGCGGCGGCCAGGGCCACACCTGATCTCGGCGCGCACGGCCACGGCGCGTGCGCGGGAGCCAGCAGCGGCGGTCCTGCTGACGCAGGCGCGTGCGGGGCGCCCCGCAGCAGAGAATGCGGGCCTGGCCGCGGCCTGGCGCTGGGCGAGCATCTTTTGATGTGTGCTCGGGGGCTGTGCCGGTCGGCTGTGGGGCAATGGTCGAATGTACAGACGACCAATGAGCTATCCAGAGCAGTTCCTAATTGTTACAAAGGAAGGCTCGGATTGATTCGAGCAGGACGGGAGCCAGGAAATGCACGGTCAGCAATTGAGAGGCCCCCGCAGAGTTCGACGTGACCGTGCTGAAAAGCCACTACAGCCCCCATATGCTAAATAAACGCGCACTGGATTATAAATTACTGCATTTCACGGCCTCATAACGCCTGATCTCGTTCTGGTCCTCGTTCCTAACCCGCTCGGCATGGCCCTCAGGGGCTCCAGCAGCTGGCGCGCCTGCTCCTCACGTAGCTCAGCCCCGCGTGTTATCAGGATGTTGGGCATCCCGACGGAGCCCTCGATGCGAGCGCGGTCTGGCCGCCTCTCGACCAGCGCTGTTGCAGGCCGAGAGGCGCTAAAGACGGTATCTGCGGAAAATTTGAGCCCTCAGGAGATCGCGCGCCTGCTGGCTCGCCCGCGCATCGACTTCTCTTCCATTTTGAAGACGGTGGGCGTGCAGCAGCGGGCTAGATAAGTAGTACTGTTGTCCCTCTTGATATATCAGTGGCATGCGTGTGCATGGCACGTCGTGTCCGTGGCGCGCTGCATGTGCCCTGGCCGCCGCGCCGCTGTCGTTGTCAGTAGCACCCTGGTGGGGCAGCTGGGCAGCTTCGCATGTGCCGTCCAGGGCAAAAAACTGCTGCGTCGGTCTTCAATTGGTGCTTCACAGCAAGTGGCGGGTCCGCTCGGGGCAGCACCAACGCGCCACACTCGCGCAGCCACCAGAGCTGCTTAGTCACCGTGCTGGTACCATCAAACAACCGAACCATCTCAATTCCATTTTCGCCAGGTCGAGCCGATAGTGGCGGAGGTGCGGCAGGATGGAGACGCGGCGGTGCGACGCTACACGTCAAAGTTTGACCGTGTAGAGCTGGACAGCGTGTGCGTTCCCATCCAGGTTGGTTTTGAGGGGGGTGGTCCTTGTGCGGGGCCGTGGTTGTGAGGGGGTTGTCCTTTCGTAGGGCCGTGGTCAGCATAACGGACACACGACGGCGGTGTCTCTGGCCTGCAGCGGTCCCGGCAAGTGCAGCCGCCATCCGTTCGGGTTTTCAGGCGGCCGTGGGAGGTGCCGAGGTGGTGGTGCAGCAGCGGCGTTGCGCAGCTGTGGTCGCGGCAGGCGCGGTCACGCCGCCGCCCGCAGAGAGCATATGCGCACCCGCCAGACGCGGCTTGAGCACGCGATGTGTTGCGGCATGGGGCAGCGTTAAAAAGATGCAGATGCCGAACCTGGCGGCGGCCTTGCGGACACCTTAAGCACAGCGCCGCCAGCTGCGCGGCTGAAGGTCGGCTTGCTGGGGTTGTAGCCTGAAGATTTCCGCCGGCTGGCACCGCTGGCACATGCTCAGGCCTTCGGGCAGCGCGGCCGCGGCCGCGGCCGCGCTGCCCTTGTTGCCCGGGAGAGTTCGCTTGTCAGGGAGGACCACGGGATTACAGCAGCGGCAGCAGCATCAGCAGCGGCAGCAGCGGCAGCAGGGCAAGCAGCGCAAGCAGCAGCACCAGCAGCGGCGGTTTCCGCGGCAGCGTGGTTCACGCGGCAGCGGCGGCGACCGCGGCAGCGGCAGCGGCAGCGGCAGCGGCAGCAATGCACCCGTGCAGTTCGTCAGGGTTGGGAACGTGGGGCAGCTCTGGCTTTTGACGTGACAGAGCGCAGGGCCCCACACCCACAGGACTCCATCTGAACCCTTACCTAAGCCCCGCAACACGATGCCCCCTAAGTGCTCACAATCTCTCCAAACCGCCGCCTTATTCATCTACAAACACGCCGCCGCCCCCCCACCCCCACCCCAAACCTCAAACCCTACCAGGACC